AAGAGGAATATTAGAAATAATACTTATAAGTATAAATATACGATAATGGGTATAAAACAAATAATAAGGGCTTCGCCTTCTTTTAAATTATTAATATAATAAGGATTAGCAATATTTTCAACTACGGTTTTAAATTAAGTAATAACGAACAATAAGAGGGATTTAATTAATTAATAAACTAAATTAATACTCGTTATAAACCTATTAGCGCTTCCGAACCGCTAATAATTATTACAAACTACAATATAATAATAAGGGTAATTAGTAAATAAATTTATCACTAAATTTAATCAGAATTCTATATTTTTTATATTAATAAGAACGTACTATTAAATATTAAGCGAAAATAGGATAAAAAATAACTATCTAAATCAATAATGTTTCAGCCGTTGTAAATCTAATATAAATATAACGAGAAATATTAGTATTAATATAGTAAGCAATCTAACTAATAGCCTAACTAGCCTAACTAACCTAACCTAATAATATAATAAATTTAAAGGAATTTAATAAAGAAGGTTAAAAAATAATTAACCGTTTTAATCTATTAGCGGACGGTATAAATAATTTAAAACCTCTCCTTAATACTATAGAGTATTTATAGTTTAAACTTTATATTTTTTAAAAGTATATATACTATATATATATTATTAAAAACTTTAATACCAGTTAAGGGAAATTCTATAACTACTGTTCGTAATAAATAGTGATTATTACGTATTGAAAACACAAATATATAGTATTAAAAAAGCAGTAGGCTACCTACTATATTAATAAGAGGTTCAATTTTAATTGCCGTACTATATCGCTAATTAAATTAATTAACCGAAATTTGGAGAACTTTATTAGTAGCGGTAAATTATTTTTAAATATATTAATTCCTATATAATCTATAGTATACTAACTATACTTTTACATATAAATAATTCCCTAATCGTTACCGCCGTTATATAAAATTTTAATCTATTTAACGCTATAAAACGTCGAATCGAAAAAGAGATAAAAAAGTAAAAAACATATATAAAACGCAAATATCTTAATCTAATATAAGCTAGCAATACCCTTAAGAATATATATCAATTAATACTTACTAAAATAGTACATTAATATTATATTATATTTAGTACTATCTTAACAAAAACTAAACCGGACCCTAATAAATTAAAATTGTATATAAGCAAATTCGCTATACAATTCGGTTTACTATATTTATGTAGTTTATTAGAACGCTTTTTTAACTGATTTTAAATATTAAAACTTAATAAACTAAATTTTTACCTATATTAATAACTACAAAAATCTTTCGATAACGAAGACAAATATTTAAAATTTCAAAATTTTAATAGGATAATTAAACTTAAAAATCGCCCTTATAACGGTATATTATTCATACTTAATTTTTACACTCCCTAATTAATTACGCTAATTATTATTTAAACTCCTCTACCCTCTATAGTACTAATTTAATTTTAAATAATAATATTATAAAGTCTCCGGAAATAAGAATAGCCTTACTTCTAACCTACCCGCGGCCGATAGCCTAAGGCAAGCTACAACCCTACTATTTTAATATAAATAGCGCCGTTAATCTAACGAAATATATCTATACAAAAGGGTATTAATTTAAAGGTAAAGGTATATAACTGACTACTAACCTCCAATTCCGTTATAGAAGGGACGAAAACGCCCGCGAAACTCTATATAAACTATATAAAGAGGAAATAATACTATATAAAGAAGGGGTAGAGGAGAGAAAGGAGGTAATTCTATACGGGGTAGAGGAAGTTATATTATTAATACTATAAAAGGAGGAAATATAAAGGGAGGAGGTATGGCAACTAATATTCTAACTAATATAGAGGGTAGCTAACGTAACGTATATATTACTAATATACAAGGCTAATAAATGAAGTTCTAAGAAGTTCGCTAGTAATTAAATTAGTTATTTACATGATAAATATTATATAGATTAATAATATATAAATTGATATAAATTGAATTCAATTAATTAATGAAGTGCGCTTAAATAAAAATACGACCGTACTACTAAGTGCCCTATAAAGTACATTGTAAAATACCTTATAAAATAACCAATCTAAGTGTACATCCAGGCTGGGCACTAGCTATATAATATTTTATAAAATAATATAATACTTAGATTTCTAAGCGAAATCTATAAAAGAATATAATTACTAAGTAGAGGGTAGACCGCAGTTTGGATGCACCGATTTTGATTAGTCGAGAAAGTGGGAAGGGTAGGGAGAGGGTGGGTCGACGGTGCCTAAAGGCTTTTACGACGGTGCGAAAAGACTTTCTTAATAAAAAAATCTATCGAATATTAATATTTAATTCCTTCCCTAATTATTATAACTTCGAACTCTACGAATATTATTTATAATATAATATTATCTTCATTTGCCTTCTACTATATATCTTATACTTCCTCTAACTTATAAATATAAGGGTCTTTCAACCGCTAAAGGCGGCGTATTAACGTAAATTTAAAAATTATATTCGAAAAAGAGAATTATTTATATCGAAAGAGTAATTTATATCGAGGTTATAAGTATATTTATTGAATAATTTCCAGTCCCTATATATTAACTAATAATATTTTTAATAAGATATTTAGGAATAAAACTTTAAGATTTTGAACGTTATTTTTAATTTTTAAAAATTTAATGTTTTCCCCTTAAACTATTTACGCGTATTCGAATTACTAAAATCGAAAGTATTTAAAACCCTTATTATTATTTACTCTAAAATAATATTAAAAATAAATTATTAGATTGTAGTAAAAATGAAGCCTTGTTCGCTTTGAAAAATGAATTGAATTATAGAATTCCCTAATAAAGAGAGGATTTAAATATATAAAAGTCGCTATTAATAAAGAATTATTTGCTTATAACTATTTAAAGGAATTTACTATCGATAAGAAGAGGCGGTTAGAGGTATTTAATGCTAAAAAGTCCTATAAGTAGTTTATTAAATTAGAAGGCGAAATTATAATTAATATTTCTATATAACGTATATATTATATATAGGAGGTTAAAAAATAACGAAAAGCTAAAATTCTATACGAGAAAGAATTAAAAGTAATCTACGTAATAGCTAAAGAGGAAGAGAAACGGTTAAAGGAGGAATAAGATAAATAGAAGCGCATCTTAATTAAGAATTCTTAGCGCTAACGGCCGCCCTTATATACGCACTTTTAAAAATTATTTTATTAAAACCGACCAAGCCGTTAATTTTATACTTTTTAATTTTACTTATCTACTATAAATAAATAATAGTAAGCGCAAACCCTCCTTCTTTATCGACGGTCCGCTCGTTCAAATATTTAAATTTATAAAGAGGATACTTTGAAATATAGCTTTTATTAATAAAGGCCTACTTCTCTCCAGCAATAATATTAAATTTATAAGTATAAATAACCCTACCCCGCTAGACCTTTCTAAAAACGAAAATAATAATAATTGGGAGGATAATAATAACGGAAATAGCGATAGAATAAATAAATTAGAGCTACCTACCCTTCCTAAACTAACCGAACTATTTCTATTAATATTAACCAATAAATTCTCGTTATTAATAGTCCGCCCAAGTGAACCTACCCCTACTATAAAGGAGTTAACGTATGTTAGAATTAACCGTTTAATTAATAATTAGAAAGGCAAACAAATTTATTATAAGAGATAACGAAAAGGGAAAAACAATACCAATACCCTCCTTAAAAGCACAACCTCCCCCTTTCATACTAATACTAGCACTAATACTAATACCCCTAGTACTAGTACCCCCAATACCCCTTCCAACACCTCTAATACTCTAATCGAATAATCTATAAATAATCGTACGCAAATAAATCACTATGTTTAACTTCACTAACTTCATTACACGTAAAAATACAACCGAGTTTAATATAGTATTTCGACAGAAATAGTAGGTTTTCACTACTAATCCATACCAAGACTATCCAGTAATTTCTGGGTATCCGGCGTTTTTTTTCCCCACCCTCTACAAGAGGGTGGGTTTAGGTAAACTGGCCTTGGCACGAGAGCCAACCTCACACCCACGGGTACACCGCAGCCACGGTTAAACCAAAAAAGGAAAGTCAACAAGTGGACTGGATGGCGGCACAGGCGAAGCAACTCAAGCAAGCGAAGGACTTTGGGGCCAAACTGGAAGAATTGAATCGAAACACCTTTAAAGCCCGCTTTCTCCCCGCCAGTCCACTATGAAACCCATTCCTTAGGGGTCCAACCTCAAGGCAACGAGGAACCCTGGTCCCGTCCTCATGTGCCACCATTGACGGCCAAGGAGCTCAAGAGGCTCTCGCTTCAGTCTGTCAAGTCTCGGAGCCCTCCTACACAAGTGACACAGGATGCAGACAAGGGTAAGAAGAAAGATGAGAAACAGTCACAGGGATTTATCTCCTCGTTATTTTCGAAGAAGAAGAAGAAGCCAGCACCAGCTGAAGTGAATCCATACGCAGATCCATACGCAGGTCAGTACGACAGCCCTGGCAGCAACGGCACACGCAGCTCCACATCCGATGATGGATCTTATGGTCCATGATACGTCTCGAGGACCTGCAACGCATCCAGCAAAGCCGTAGGATCACCAAGCGCGTCTTATGGTCCTCCGGTCTACAACATCGACCGTCGGCCACCCATCTACATGTAGTCAGCGGGCAATCTTGTAGACCTGACGAGTGCGTAACAAAGACAAGAAGGATTGTTAGAAAGATACTGGGTCTCGGTGTTTAGCTGGACATGCAGTACTGGTCATCAGAAGCCAGGAGTCCCAGGTCGAATGTAAGGTATCTGTTTCCACGGTTTACACATCAACAAAACAATTTTGAAGTTTTAAATACCGTTGGAAATGTGCAAAAAGCCTTCCACGCTGGATATGCCCCGCGTATCGTGCGGGCAGGTTTTGCCGGACTGAAATAGCCACCTAACATTATCGAAAATCATAAGTACCTGCCCCATCTCCCCTTACCTCCCCTCCCAAGTCCCATTATACACCGCCACCATCTCCCTCTGATACTCCATCAACCTCTCCCAATTAATACAACTATGCACCACCCCCCACCCTAAGTTCCCCTTGGTATACTCCTCCGGGCTTCCCGGTGGGGAATCGCTCTCCAGCGTCATGTAATCTGCACACACGATGCTCAGCCTCAAATACTCGAAGCAATGCTCCAAGTGTTCCAGCCAGTCGTTGTCCACGAACGAGCCAGACAGGGCGTTGATCCCCTTGTAGACCAGCTGGTTGTACCGCTGCCGGGCGACGTTGACGCAGTGAAGTTGGTGCATGGTGTTGAGGACGTAGAAGTTGTTGAGGTTCGGGAGAGAGGCGGCGGAGGGCGGAGGGGTGTTGAACATAAAGAAGGGGGCGCGGATGCCTGGGTCGTGGAGGCCGTATTTTGAAGGGTCTTGGAGGTAGATGGTGTCGGAGCCTGAGTGTGCAGAGTTCGGGTTAGACACGAGTTTTTATCTCTTTGTGATGTTCAAAGCCGACTTACCCATCGTTATCCGGTCCCAATTCCTTTCAGCTTCCTTTGACGGCCCGATGAACTCCTTGTAGGGGATAATGGGACATCTCGTCTTTCGGTGAAGATCTCTCGTGGTAAGGGCGTCTTTGGGTTGATGCCAAAGTCTTTCAACGTTGGCTCACTGGAGTTGGAGCTTGTTGTGAGGTAAAACCCAGCGGCAATAGCGACTGTAATGGAGAAGATGGTAATAACTACGCGGATAACATGCTCCCTCCACCGTGATTGTCTGCAAATTGGGATATGGATGTCAAGGCTTTCATCTGACTCTCTGCTGGAGTCTGGGTGCCCGTGTGCACTCAGAAGGCTTCCAGTTTCATTGTCCAGCTGATGATGTTTCTCGGTTGTCAAGTTCTGGGAGTACATGGTGATGCAAAGGTGTTTGGAACTTGACTGCGCCTGCCAAAGGGAAAGATGAGCAAGTGCAAAGATGAAGGTTGGAAGGAGGCACAAGCAACAGGACCGGAGGGGGCGCTCTTACCTCCCCTTCAGATCAACATCAACAGGACCAAAGCCATCAAAGTGAAGATCCAAAAAGAAGTGCGATATCGCACCACTCTCCAAGTCTTCACATGTCAAACACTCGATTTGGATCATCAGTTGGACACCTTCCTGAAGGTTCACAACCAAGGAAGGCTGTGAGACGCAATGTCCGAAAATGTGCATTATACAAGGCCAACGAAGTAATCGGAGACGTGCTGACTGCTGAAAGCTCGGAGGACCCTTATCGTTAACTTGTCAGAATGCACGGTTGAGTTAAAAGTGGGTAAATCTCTATATTAATGTGTGTATATCGAAGAGTACTATGGAACCAGAGTTGGAGGCTCCTAGAATATTAAGGAGGTTTATAGTTAGATTCTAGGTAGCTAGGAAGCTAGTCCTCATTTAGAACTCCCTTCTTACTAACTAGATTTAACCCTCCAAACTAATACACCTTCCCAATTGAAGTCTTATAGAGATAAAACTACTTAGAAATAAAGCTATTTATAGTATTATATGACTATCCCAAGATTTATCTCCTTATTAATTTTATTTATTTCGATATATACTATTATATTCTCTCGTCTTTTTGATTCCTTATCCTTTATTAAATTTATTTCTACTAGCTTTATAAACGCTATATACCTCTAGAAGTCTAGTACTTTCATTAAACTATCTATAGGTATTTTGGCCGCTTCTAAATATTTAATTTTTATCCTTCTAGTAAATACCTTTTATTTTACCTAATATCTATAAATATCTACGTATTTAAACTTTATTACTAATTTTGTAATTTCTACAGTTAAAACCCTAATAATTTATTAATTATTATAATCTAGGGTAAGGATAGGATTAATTAAACTTATTATAAAATTAGTAATAAATCTTATTATAAAGAAGGCTTTCTTAACTATACTAATAAATATAATAAATTTTGCCTCAGTTGTAGAAGTAGCTACAATTACTTATTTAATAGTACCCTAATAAACTAGCCCTCTCAAGAATTATATTATAAATCCTTAGGAATTTTTATAATTTATAAAATTATTTATAAATAACGAATTTAAGGAAATCCAGAGTACTTTATTACCTCTATAGTAAAGTACCATATTAATAGTAGTATAGAAGTAGTAGAGTACTTTATTTATAGCTTTATAATAATCTAAATTAGGGATATAATTATATTTAAAGAGATAATTGATAACGAAATTAATATTTAGGCGTATAGTAATAGTAGTATATAGTACCAAGCCTACTTTAATTTAATATAAGTATATTAAATAAAGGGAAGCTTTATCATAAAAAGGAACTAATTCGACGTTAAATATAAGGATTAAAATAATACGTTTAGTACTTATAAAGTAGTAAATCTTCTATAAATACGAACGTTAAAATATTTAAATCTTTCCTATTTAATAGTTTCGAATAATTTCGATATTTAAAAACTATTATAATTTGTCTCTTCTAATTATATAATATTATTAAATAAAGTTATTTATATATTCTTATATAGTAGTAGTTTTATTAAGATAATATACGAAGATTATATTATTAATATAATAGGAAACGAGGATACTATCGTTAACGAAAATATATAATTCTTTAAGAATCAATTCGAAACCTATTATTTTAAAAATATTTATAAGTTTTCGTTACTAAAGGAATAAGGAACGTCGTAGGCCATATAGAGCTTTAAGTACTTTAAGGACTTTCCTTAGAGTTTTATAATTTAAAAGTATATATATATAAATATTTTTATTTATATAAGTATCAACGAAGGTATTAATAATATTATATTAAATAACTTCGAATTTAAACCAGGCGGCTATAGCGATAAAAGTACGGAAAGAATAGTTAGTGAAGGTAGAAGTATACGTTTCCTACCCTACCTTTTTTACTTATTAATTTTTACTGACGATAAGGTAAGCTTTAATTTTATTAAATTTACTGTTTTTAAAGAATTTATATATATACACCTATATATAATCGAACATTTATTTATTTCGAATACATAATTCGTCCTTATCGACTTCTAAGTAAGTCTTCATTTCTTTATAATCATTAAAATAGGTTTGTTCTATTTATTTAAAAAGATTTCTAAGGAAATAATAATTAAGAGATTTATAATTTTTAAGCGCTAAAGGAAAATAGTTTATATGGATTAAGGATTTAAATTCCCCTTTAATAATAATCTTATGATTACGAATAAATTACTATAATTTTATTTTCGTAACGGGTTTACTATTGCATATTACTCTAGGTTAATAAAGTTTACCGGTATTAAAGGCGGCCTTTTAGGGTTCAAAGCCTTTATAAATTTCGTTTTTAATACGGAAATTAAAATAGAAGCCGGCGAAGAAGGAGGTAGGCGGCAATCAGTTTAATAGCAACGTATTTAAAAGAATAGGATATTTATTATTAAGGATAAAATTAATAAATATCATTTCTATAGGGGTATTCGAATTTTTTAGCGGAGGCTTTAGAAATATATAATTAATTTCCCCTTTTTAATAACTTTAATTAAATTTTAGAAGGGAGCTAGGTATATCGTATATTTAAGTATTTTTAAAATCGATTTGGCTATTAACAAAATCGGGGATTTTTAGTATTAGAAGTATCTAATTATATTTTTAGAATAATATAATAAATTCGTTAGAAGAGAGTTTTAAAGATTACGTTTCAATTAGTACTTCCTTAGAATAAAGTGTATTTTTATTAAATAATATATTACAGATATTAATAATTAAATTATTAATGGGGTTTTAAATATAATAAATTAAGGAAGTAACGTAACTGATTAAATAACCAATTTATATGTTAAAAAGAAGATTTTTTACGCCTTTTTTCTTTCTTTTAAGTAGTTATAATTATAGCGTATATTTTATAATTATAGATACAAAGGTATATAATATTTAATTTATGTAGAATTAATATATTAAATTTATTTCGTTTAATAATAAAAGTATAGAAGCGTTTGTATAGGGATTTTTAATTATAAAGGAATTTAGGGGACTAATTAGTAAAGTAAATTATTGTAAAAACGATTTCTAACTATAAATATTTAGCGAAATAAAAATTCTATATTATTACTCTGAACTTTTCTTTAATTGTAGCTCCTAAGTATTCTATAATATTATTCTATATTTGAATATATAGAATAGAGGGCGTAGTATTTATATTTCTAAGAGCGAAGAATTCTTTTACTATATAAGACCTATTAATTTCGTTATTATATTTAATAACCTTTAATTAAATATTATATTACATATTTAATATTATAAAGAAGTTATTAAGGAAGCAGGCGATAGTAGGAGCTTTATAATTTATTATATAGTAATTTTGAATATACCTGATATATTTATAAATAATAAGTATAACATTAGAATATCCTTAGCGGCTCTTTATATAATCGAGAAAATCTATAGTTAATCTCTCTCTTAGGCGATAGCTACGATTATAGGGTTTACGGTTAATTTATTATTTAATTTTTAATAAGGTATATATATTATAATATGTAGTAGAAGGACCCTTAAAGCGGGTACCAATAACGTTAGTAAAATAGTCGAATATTTAAAGATTATAGTAACCGAGGTGGTAATATTAGATAATAGCCTCTTTCTTATAGTACTTATAATTGTTGAGGGAATTAAATTAATTATATTATATAAAGAAAATAACTCTATAGAAAGAAGAAGAAAGGTCCTTAAGGACCGTTTAACAGTATTATATCGTAAGACGGTAAAAAAAGGAGTAATCTAAATTTCGAAAGTAATTATTAGGTAATTATTAATCCAAATAAAAACCTTTCTTACGAAGGAAGTAAAAGGAGATAAAGTTAATTATAAAGTCGGAGTAGAAGGTTATATTATAGAGACGGAATTTTTTAAGCCTTCTATATCCTTAGATTATAATACTTATATTATTATATCCTTTAATAAGAATGTGGAAATTTTTAACTAAGAGATTATTATTATAGGAAATGTAATAAAAGTTAATTAAATAGGTAATTTTATGAAAAATATAAAGGGAGTTATTAGAATTAAAAAGGGCGTTATTCTTAAAAGACTATAATTATAAATCTCTTTTTCCTACTTAAAGAGCCGCTTAATAAACGGTTATTTTATAATTAACTATTACTTCCTAAGTACTTTTATTAAAGAATTAATTACTTTTATTATTATTATTATTCTATTTTATTTTTTATTTAAAGCGGTCGATTTCTCTCCTTAGTTTTAAGTTATTATAGAGATTCTTTTTAACTTTATTTTAAATTTTTTTAATAGGTTTCTATTTGGGTTAATTATTTTAATAAGGAATAGATATTAGTAGTATTTAATTAGGTAATGGCTTTATTAATATACTTTATAACAAATATTTAGGAATAATAATAAAATATTTATAATTGTAGTTTCGCGCTTCCTCTTACGATAATTCTAAGTCCTATTAAATTAAACGTCCTCGTCCTTAATATTACTATCCTATAAATTATTAAAAATTAAACTTATACTAAACGTTCCTTTATAGCCCTTAGTCTTATTGATATTAGTAGGAAGTTGCTTATTTAATCCTTTATAGCGGAAATTCCTAAATATTAAATAGAAATTAAGGATATTAATTGTAATTTTCTTATTATAGTATTTTGAAATATTAAATACTTAAATAGGTTGAATTAATTATAAATAATTTAAGAGGTCTATAAATTAAGTATTAATTATAGTAACTTTTAAAACCTTATAGCGGATTATATTAATTATTATAACGTCCTAACTATTTATTTATTTACTCATTCCCTTATCTCTCTTATTAAATTCGTTTAATAATAATTTAAAGTAATTATAATACTTCTAGTAAACTTCAGTTTAAGTATCTTCCTTTCAGTAATTATAGCCGTTTTTAATATTAGCGTATTATTTAGCTATAAATAAGAGGAATAGAAAATTATTAAATTTATACGAAGAAAATACGGATTTTTATATTTACTTTCGAATATTAACGTGACTAATTTTAAAGGATTTATAGACTTTTATCTTATAGCATTAATTAATACAATTATATTCGTACTCTTATAAATTAAAAGTAATAAAATCTATTAATTTAATTATAGCGTCGTCGGTCTATTAATTTAAAGTTCAGTTAATAATTTCTACGCCTTTAAGAATTTAGGACGCTTCTAGAGCTTTAATTTCTTCGTTTATATTTATAATTACCGGGGCTAGGGTTAGAGCCGGAGGTATATAAATAATAATATTAATTTTAAATCTATTAAAGACTTCCCGAACTCTTTTAATATAGTAGAGGACTATAGTTTTAATAATGTAATTATCTATATAAATAAGTAGAGGCTTTTAAACAGCGGGCTTTAACTTTAGTACGAAATTAATAAAGTTAAAGCTTTTAGCGTAATTAAATAATTTATCATTCTAATTATAGAATTTCGAAGGTTTATCGAAGTAAGGATGGTTAGTCTTAGGAGAGGATTCTTTTAATAGGGATATAATTACCTTATTAATTTGGTCGTTATTAGGGTAATTCGAAAAATATTGGTACGTAAATATTCGTACTTCTATAGATATTAGTATAAAATATAAGTATTGCAAATTAGATGATTAATTGTTAGAATGTACAGTTAAGTTAAAAGTAGGTAAATTTCCATATTAATGTGTGTATGTTGAAGAGTATTGTGGAATTAGAGTTGGGGGCTCCTAGAGTATTAGGGAGGTCTGTAGTTAGATTCTGGGTGGCTGGGAGGCTAGTCCTCATTCAGAGCCCCCTTCTTACTAGCTGGATTTAACCCTCCAAACTGACATGACTTGGCCGGGGTAGCCCCGCATTGTCCCGGTTGAGTAGGGCCGGGCCGCTAACCGCCTGCGGGCCGTCCGCGGAGGCTCCACCCAGTTTTCGGTCACTGTGCTCCACATTTTGTCTCTTTTGTCCATTGTCTCCTCTTGTTCTCTCCTGCAGAAGTCTCCCGCATTCAGCTCCCATGAATTGAGATGCAGTGACATCGGCCTCCGGGGTAAGCCTACAACATGGCCGGTTTTCTGTGCCGTTGTACCGATATGACATCTGCCGGACTTGATACGAAGAGATCCGAGTTTCAGCACGATGGCCTGTGCTATTGGCGTAAGCAACGAATCCTTCAATGTTTGCCACTGGAGCTCGTCGAACATTCCACATAGTCTGGTAAACTGGACGCTAGCGCGCTTACGAGCTTACAGCGCCTAGCACAGTGCTATCTCGGTATTGACTTGACGTTTGGCATGTCCTGTAAACCAACGTTGCTTGCATCTTGGAGATATCTCATCGTGATCGTTTCTGGTCATTGTAACGTCTTGTTGATGACTTGGGCGAAAGAAGGGGGAGTTTGGATATCCCCTTGCCTGAAGTCTAGTAGTCTACCTAGCTGTCAGTCTCCTGTCAAGCTCTTTTCCTGTCAGGGCCAAACCACTCAAGTCCAACCGTACAACATCCAACTCACCAAGACGATGCAGTCCAAGATCAAGTCCATCCTAGAGTCCGTTCGTTCACCAGACAGTCCGGACTATGGACGGATTCGCACAGACGACGACGACGAAAAGCTTGAAGATGTCCAGCTCGATGCACCAATCCGGAGCCACGCCATCGCTAGAGAGCGGCGCAACAACCGCATTCTCCTCACAGCAGTGTCTTTCCTCTGTTTGGGATGGCTCACAACAGTGGCATTCTGGTACAAGACCGCACCAAGAAACAATGGACCTCTGCATGTCTACTCCAACACTCCCATCTCGAAGGAACTTTTCATTCCTGTGAAGAAGGTGTTTCAACCAGACGAGCGTTATATCGGTGGCACTGCGGAGGTTGAGAGGGAATGGGATAAACTGGTTGCTGGTCAGTACCATCTTGGCCAGATGTGAACATGATATGTGCACGACTGAAGTATAAACTGACCGTTGTTGACAGGCCATGATGCCGTCTGGATCGAGAACCCCAAGCAATGGGGACTTCCTCAGGGCATCGTCGCCCCATACGATCATCCAAACACTCCTGTCCCGAAGCCACAAGATTTTTACGTCATCTCCATCCTTCACCAGCTCCACTGTCTGGTAAGAACTTTTCTCTTCCCCGGTTTCATCACTCTTTCCCAAACGAAGACTGACAAAATGTTCCTTCAGAACATGATCCGCTACCAATATTACGTCGAAAAGAACAAAAACTCCGAGTCCGGAATGACCATGCGAATGAGGGACAATCTTGACGAGGAACTTGGACCAGACCCAGATGAAGAGTTCAAGTGGAAGGTCCATGTCGAGCACTGCTTCGAGTACTTGCGCCAGGGAATCTCCTGTGGTGGTGATCTGATCATTGAAGGCAACAGTCCCATCAAGGTTGGAAAGGGCCATGCAACTTCCGTGACCGGGTGGGGTGTTGAACATGATTGTATCGACTTTGACAAGTTGAGGCAGTTTCAGATTGAGCAGGAGGCGAAGTATAATCTGACGTGGCAGAAACCTCAGTAGAAATCGTACCTTGTTCGCAAATGAAATAGAAACCGTTGTAATATGAATGGGTTGAACTCGAAGAAGCTTGCATGTCCATGACTGAACTTTGACCAGGGGTGATGTTATAGGCCTCTCGTGCTCATAGGCTAGGAACTTAAGCACCGCGTTCACTTCCAAAGAAACACGAGCTCGAAAGGGGGAAAGGACAAGAAGTGCAAGACGGGAGAAGATGCGGATAGACACGAAAGGTCAAGGGAGCAAAAGGATACGCAGGAGAAAGGACTCAAGTTTGTTCCCAAAAACTGATAGATTGAGCACAGGGAATTTGTTGCAACTTCAATCACGAAAAAGACATGGAAGTCATCACCATCTTCTTCTAGACCATCAAGCCAATCTTAAGCCGCAACAGCACCCACAGACTCCTTCACCACCTCCTCCGCATTCTTCTCCGGCACTGCCACAGCGGCCGGCGCCTCCTTTGGCAACCCATAAACACTAACATCCTCACTCATCCCCTTCTTAATCCACACCTGCCCAACTACATCCGGTCCAAACACCAACAATTGCCTCAATCCCACGTCCACAAACCCCAAGCTCCGGAAAACGGCACCACTGGCCTTATTCGCCGGGTCGTGAAGTCCCAAGATATCCTTCACCCCCTGCACCCTCTCGACATAATCCATCAGTCCCTGCGCCGCCTCTTTCGTGTACCCCTTCCTCATGTACTCGGACAAAATCGCAAATCCCAAATCCGGCGCGGTATAAGATCCAGGCTCATCCCCGCGCATCAGCGACACCGTACCGATTGGCGTGGCGGAGGCCAGATCGTCTGGGTTCGCAGGGTTGCGGAGAGAGAAGAGGTAAGTGCCGTAGCCATTGCGGGCGTGTTCGGCACGGAAGCGGCCCTCGAGTTGACGGCGCGCGACGTCGCGGGTGGTGACGGGTGTCTTGCCGTTGTTGGCGATGAATTCGGGGGTGTTGTAGAGGGCGACGAGGAAGTCGCAGTGCGAGTCGAGGTCGGGTTGGAGGTACGAGATGAGGAGACGGGGGGTCTCGATTTTGAAGGTGGGGTCCGACATGGTGGTTGGTGGTGCTGGTGTGGTTCGGATGAGGTGGGTTTTAGGTGTGCTTTTCGTCCGAAGTGTGATTTAAGGTGGTGATGTTTTTGAGATGAATGTCCTTGGAAGATGAAAGTCCTTAGAGTTTCTTTGCTTACTAGTGAAAGTGTGAAAGGGCAGGAACTGATATCGTGAAGAAGGCAAGAGGGAATGAGGACCCTGAAATACTTCCGCCGCATGAAACCATTCCAAATTTCCAATGGTCGACGACTTTCCTCTTTGGGCTAACACACCTGCAGCGACCAGCGCTGGGCGGTCGCGCGTCCGCTGTAACCTCAGAAATCAGCACTAAAACAGGTGAGTCAGAGTGAACAGTGTTAATCCCCATGATGGAGGCAAGGACCTTGCAGTTGAACAGGATCGTGGTTGCAGCGGTTTGTCCGGGGATAAAACATCAATGTTCCAGCAGGAAAAAGCTACAAGGTTTCAATCAATGATCATGACTCAAGATTGCAATTTGGAATGGTGAAAAGAGGCGATGCAATGCGTTCAAGTTTTTGTTGGTAATTGTGGTGAGGAAGTAAACAAAGCCCCTGAAAGTGCCCTAAAACACAGCCCCTATTTCCGCACACTGGATTGTCCCTTAGTGACCACCATGAACATGCGGATGCAGACTCTCCAACATATTCCTGTCCGCCGGGGTATGCGTGACCTTCCCCGGGGGATACCCATCATCCTTCTTATCCGACCGATGCTTATATGCCCAAGCAAACATCTTATCATAGCTGCGACACATATGCGTTGCTCCAATGCCGTTGATGCCAACCTCCGTGAGTGGCTCAAAAGTCACATCGCCAGCACACATGATGGCCTGGCGGATGTAGTCGATGCAGTGGTCGCGGTGGTAAACGACTTCGTCGGCAGGATAGTCCTTGATGGACTCCGGCTCGTAGGCATACCGGATAAAGTTGAGACAGTGCAGCTGATGGAACATGCTGATGCCGTACACCTTGCTCGTGTTTGGACTGTTGGGTGCGGGCAAGCTAGGAGGCAGATCGTGGGTGTGTTCGTTTGGGATTTCGACGATGCCGTCACCTGGAGGCATCAAGCGCTTCCAGGCATCGTTGGAGCTGTTGCTGACTCCGCCGTAGAAGCCGTATGGTTGGAAGACCACGGGGGTGTCAAAGACGACTACAAGCTTGCGTTAGCAATGGACTTGATGTTTGAGGATTCTGAAGGGCAAAACTCACGATCCGGCTCAAAGAAGTCTGGCTTCGAGCCACAGTTGAACTTGTTCAGAGAAGAGTTGACCCGAGCCCAAACGGCAACGCCGGCGATCAAGAGTAGAACATTGGCAACAAGTGCACCAACATTCCAGTTGAGCCACCTGCTTCCCTTTGAGCCATGCCTTGAAAGGCCGTCTTCAGACATGAGACCGTTTCGAAGGAGGTACTGCTTGTCTTCGTCCATGATGGTGTCTGAAGATGAAGAGCCTGGGTAAGACTGTTCCCCAATAGAAGAGGGCATGTTGGAAACTCTGAAGGAAATGACTTGGGATTTCTGATTCCTACTTCCACTTCTCAGGTCCAAGATACCCCCATGATATTACACCTTTTTGGCCATCGAAGGCCAAGCGATATGACATACCCCGCGTACCTCACTCTGATTCAGCACCTCGTGAACCGCGATGCTTCCGCCAAGGAGTTTTCTGCGTACAGCGTATCGTTAGACCCAAAGAGGAAGCTGTGGAGGTGAAGCTGCAGCGCGAATAGTGCGGGAGACTTTGATAGCACGTGTTAGCGTCGTTACAGCGCGAATCAGCATCCGATGGCCTGTAAGCAGTGCCTACCTCTAAGTGCGAAAACCCCAGAAACACACACCGTCCAGACTGCTGTCAGATCGCACTTGGCCATGTAAGTCGGCCCGGGGTTCCACATTCCTGTTCTGGAACGACATGCTGATGTGTCAACCCATTTGAGCATCGAGTCCTCCTCGTACAGCGTCCCCGAAGTCGGAGACAGGTTTCCCGAAGGTTGATGGAACATGTGATGGTCGACCGGCTAAAACTACGGCCGATTTGCTGACCGGAAACAGCCCCGGACACCGGTGACAGACTGGATTTGGGCGTCTCAGCACTGGGGACCTGATATGTGCGGAAACCGAGGAAAGGGAAGGGTGACAGGCGAGCGGCATGACACTACTGTACTGCTCCAGTTACGAGAAAGCGGACGCGAAGACCGAAGTGGTTGTCAAGGGCAAACAGGTTATCAAGAGCCAATAGTGTTCCTTTACCCCGCGAAGACCGTGAACAGGAGCTCGAGATCGTGACAGGATTTGACTGAGGCAAGGGGCGATGGAGGATACAGAGCCACAATTCAAGCCTCTATGTTGACGGTCGTTCATCACCTTCCTCTTCTAGCGCTTTGGGAAAGGCGCGAGACTTTTGTTGACGACATGAACGGTGTCGGACACACAAGTCAGTATCGGCATTGCCATTACGTGAACGAAGCAGCGTTGAGTAACGTAAGACGTCCAGGAGTAAGACGACATCGATCCGGTGCTAGCAGCCAATAAGCAGCTATGTCATGAGCCCCTGTGGACTGTACTCTCTGGTCCCAAATGGCATTGGGGGGGAAAGGTTGGTGAACCATGGAAGAAGGACCAACTCGTCAACATACGATATAAGGCAGCCCAGTCTCCACGTCTCGAGTCGAAAGCATACCTACATCAGTTAGCACACCTCCAACTGCCTTCTCCTCTTTGCCACCCATCACTCTGACAGACCATGAAGACCACCGCTTCCATCACCCTCGGGGCTTTGCTCCTCCCTCTCCTCGCTTCAGCTGCCGCCATTCCCGCCTCCGCCCAAGCTGAGCCCGCCTATGTATGGGGATCCCGCGGCACCAACAAGGCCCGTGAGCCCGAGCCTGCCAACACTCAAGCCGAACCCGCCTATGTCTGGGGCTCTCGCGGCAACAACAAGGCCCGTGAGACCGAAGCCGACGCCGCCAAGGTCGGTGCTGAACCTGCCTACGTCTGGGGCTCCCGTGGCACCAACAAGGCTCGCGAGGCCGAGGCCGCCCAGGCCGCACCTGCCTACGTCTGGGCTTCCCGCGGCAGCACCAAGCGTGAAGCTGATCCCGCCGACAAGGCAGCTGAGCCTGCTTACGTGTGGGGCTCTCGTGGCTCGAGCAAGCGTGAAGCAGATCCCGCCGACAAGGCAGCTGAGCCTGCGTATGTCTGGGGAAGCCGGGGCAGCAACTAAGACTTTCTTGGGATAGGTCGACGATGTATGATGTTATGACAAGGGACGGATCGGTGGGAAGGGATCGGACAGCGGGCTGTTAAGTAGGATGGAGGTTTGGTTTGTCGGAATGGGTCGGGGTATTCGAGTGTCGGTCGAGACCTCGAGAGAAATGCGGAGGAGTCTGTACGGGTAGATTGCTGTTAGCCATGGCCGATAGAACCAAGGTTGCGGTGCCAAATGCCCAAAGATTGATGCTTTCCCAACTTGAGTACATGTAGTCGCTCTTCGTGGGTTGAAGATTTCCTGGTTCTGAAGTGCTGCCAGGTGGTTTGGGCGGTCGACTGTCGGCTGGAACAAGAGGGGCCCTCCAAGGCGCTTGGGCACCAACTTGAGTGCTGATGGAGGGGACGAAGACGACGTAAAAGGAGCATTGAAAGATTTGGCCTAGTCGTATACGCTCAGCGCTTCCTGGCCGGAACAGGCGTGACAGGATTGCTGGAACTGTTGATATCCTGGGGAATGTTGCGGCTGCTCCGTGGTGTCGAGCTCAAACTGTTTGCCCGGCTGCAGACCTCTGTGCGTGCCAGGCTGCATCGGGCGGATTGGTCATTACGTCATTCGGAGATGCCGCATGTTCAATCTGTCAGCCTTGCATTCCATTTGCCTCACACCAGGCGTCGCTTCCTCCCACCTGTCGTCCAATGTTTTTACCCCTGGCCCATTGCTGTGGTGACCCGGAATCCGCAGCCACAACCCATGGCAGACACTCGACGGTTTTCCCATCATGAACCATACCAATCACCCCATAGTTGGCACCCGGGTAGAGACGCCAGTCGGAATTCCGATGTCCAGTTTGCATCTAAATTGGAGGAAATCTTCTGACACTTTTACTGGCCGAACTTGCATCTCCAGGGACACGCTGCCATCAACCCAGTCTGCTCTGTCCACTCCTTGTGTCGGATAAGTGTGACGACATTGAGCAGAACCAGGGTTGAAATTGTTGGAAGCATCAGCCAGCAGTTTGATGTTCTGTGTCCAAGTGTTCCGGCGAAATGCCCGGTCGAGTATCCCCCTTCCCTCTTCGTCTGAGCCGGCTATGAGCTACACGATCGGCAAGCACGCAGTTAGCTGGAAACAACTTTAATCATCAGACCAACAACTGTTTTCGGGATTCGGGTTGATCGTGGTAGTGAGGTACCCTACGCTAGGTATAAGTGGTTGTCGTTTTTGATGGGAAGTTTGCGAATGACTGCCGTCTTTCAGGGACAAGGACATGGAACGCACCTAAATCTTCCTCCACGACGTTCGTACCGACTGGCCGATGTTTGACACTGCTGTGCCATACGCGAATCTATTCCTCACGTCGCTTGGCCAGATAATTCTCATTGCTTCAGAGTATCAAGGTGGAATATCGTGTTTCTGCCCGGATGCTGGCAGTTGTTTGCGATCTTACGAGATTTCCAAACCTCGTCTATGTCGTTTCGCCGAGAGGAATTTACCATCACGGCCCTGTATGAGTCACGACTTGACTCCCCTGAGCCTGTCTCATTTCTCCACGAACAGCGGAATATATTTTTTAACCTTTCCGCACCTGTTCCCTTCTAGATATCCGGAAACCAACGGCTAATCCCTCCAACGTTTCCCCTCTCCAGCCTCAGCTGAAGGCGTTCGAGCTGCGCCGAGCCTCCAATTAAGGTAGCGCATCAAGATTGTGGTGGCGGCGGCAACTCCCAGCTTCTAGATCAAGCAGTTGAGATCGTGAGTGTGCCCCCCATCGAAGGAGCACCGTTGTTTCGCCATTGTTCGGGTGCCTGTTGATCCCACTTCCAAGGCGCGAATGGGAGGGGCAACGAGTCTGGATCGGGCAGGTCCCAGATGCACAATTGCACATTGGCATTTCTTATCTTGCTGAATTTCCAATCCATTGCAAGCCAATTCCTCACATTTCCCAGCTTTCCCACGAAATCAGCGCGGGAATGCAACCACACAACCACACATAACCCCGTACTGTCGCAACTGAACTGCCAGAAACAGCCTAGCTCCGGCACTGCCAAAAACTTCTAAACCGTCGATCCTGTTGTTCACCATGTGGTTTTGGAGGGAAACCCCACGCGGTTGGCTGCACTTTGCAGTCACTGATGGGGAAGCAATGCATGGAAGCGACTCGGCAATCGTTCTCACACCTCGATGCAGTTGAGCCCAATGGATCCAATAGACTGCCATTGACTGCTGGAAAGAGGAAGGTGTCTGCCAGCCGCCCAGAAGAGAAACTATCGCGTGCTCACCTCTGCATGAACGAACAAACAATCAAAGAACGCGGGGTTCGTGGATGGAGGAGCAAGGAAGGCCTCAGCGGACATGCCGACGTTGGAAAGCGTGCGAGACATGGAGTTCCAGCATCGTGGATCAAGAGCCACGAGGGGTATAAGATGGCATTGCTGCGCTCTTCATCCGCTTGTCGGGTTGCTGTTTGCTTGAGTTGTCGTTGAACGCACACACACATCCGACAACATGCGTGCCTCGGCCCTCTTCACTCTCCTCGCCAGCTCGGCTGGCTTTGTCGCCGCCGTCCCTCCTGCCGGTGCCGCCAAGGCCGCTGGTCTCCGTCTCATCAAGACCTCCCCCGAGGATAAGGGCACTTGGGTGACTGAGGAGCAGAAGATCACCCAGTACCGCAACAAGCGCATCGGCTTCGTCGACATCACCGACATCACCGTGAGTTCCACAAGTCCCAACCCCGGTCATGAACCCAATACCCATCAAGCTCCCGAACTACCCTATGTCCAGGACTGGTGCTGACCACAACTAGGACGCCTCCGTCCTCACTGCCCTCTCCAACCCTGACGGTGCTCCTGCCAAATCCGACTTCTCAGCCCAAGCCGTCACATACCCTACCGCCGTCTCCCACCAAACCCAGGTCAACTCCCTTCTCTCTCAAGTGTCAACCACCAACCCTAAGTCGTGGCTGCTCACCCTCACCAACTTCTACAACCGGTACTACAAGTCCACATACGGCACGCAGGCCGGTACCTGGCTGTATGACACCATTGTCTCCGTCGCCTCCGCCAACTCGGCCATCACCGTGACCAAGTTCACCCACTCGTGGAACCAGCCCTCCATCATCGCCAAGATCCCCGGTACCAGCAGCAACCTGGTTATCGTGAGCGCCCACTATGACTCGACCGGCGGCTCGTCCACCGCACGTGGACCCGGCGCCGACGACAACGGCTCGGGCGTCGTCGTCATCCTCGAGGCCCTCCGCGTTCTCGCCAACGCCAAGTTCGCTCCCAAGGACACGCTCGAGTTCCACTTCTACTCTGCTGAAGAGGGTGGTCTTTTGGGTTCTGCTGCCGTCTTCTCCAGCTACAGGTCCGCTGGCAAGAGCGTGTATGCCGTCATGAACCAGGACATGGCTGGATACTCTCCCAGTGGAAAGATTTCGATCTATACTGACTATGTCGACACCTCGTTGACTGCGTACACCCGCGTTATTGCGACTGCTTATACCGGCGCGACAACTAGCGATAAGTGCGGCTATGGATGCTCGGATCATGCCTCGGCCAGGTCTAACGGTTTCCGTAAGTTGCTGTCTCCTGGTTTGTGGTGTTCGAGAAGAATTCAATGACTGACCTGTGGTTTCCAGCTGCTGCCTACGTCTGCGATGAGCCCATGGATACCGCCACTCCTTACCTCCACTCTTCCAACGATGTGAGTACTAGCTTTGAGAACCCGCCCCGCGATCATTGTCCGTGGGCTGCTGCTAACTCGATGTCCCCACGCAAACAGGCTTACTCCACCATCATGTGGGATGCTGTCCTCCGCCATGCCAAGTTCACGACTGCCTTCCTTGTTGAGGCTTCCTACCTTTAAAGGGTTGTTGTGATGTCTTCTTTCCATCTTTTGTCTTGACGAGGCTAGGATCGAGTTTCGCATGTTAGGGGAATCAGTGTCATGCCGGCAAACCCAGGGCAAGAAAGAGGGGGTCCAATGACACGCGAATGTGTCGACTGTAGTGTCCATGTTGGGAGTGGCGCATGTGACGGATAGCTCCAGGCGAACACTTCGTTGAGACCAATGAAGAACACATATTTGAGGCACAAGATCTGAAAGAGATACTCACCTTCCCTTTCTTGCTTCAATGACATCAACCTCAAAGTCAGCATAACCTCTCCGGGACTGATAATGGGAAACGCAGAATCACACCACGACACACGACCGCACACGACCAGCAGACCTTCTCTCACTCTCCCCCGCTGCGGAGTCCGGTTTTACTGTCGAACACCAGTTGCTCGGCGCTCCAAAACCGAAACGCTCCGCCCTGAAGCCGTTCACTCAATCATCCACAAGTTTCCAGTGGTCCCCCAATCGCCAAGGTTCTCGGTGTGGACGTTATCAAAGGCCTTCTCAAGCGGGAGGAACATGCAAAGACAACAGCCAAGGGCCAAGCCTCTCCAACCGTGACGTGCCCAGAAAGTGGTAAGCCAATAAGCCAAATCACCCGATCATGATCCGCATCCACGCCTGAAGCCAAGGTATTGGTCGATGGTTGTGAGCCAATGCAAGCTGCTGATAAGCACTCTTGGCCGGTGTCGAACCTCTTGCCGTCTTTAAAGCGGACCATAATGGGCAATGGTGAGGGTTGTTGCCATGTTCAGGGCTTCATTCTCGGGTTAGATCAGCCGCCGTGGGTGGATGTCCTCTGGCAGGAGCATCTTGGTCCGTGGTGATCATTGCTTTCTTCGAATTTGTCCAGGACATGCACAGACCCGACCCTCAGTCAGGCCATTGCGAAGGGTTCTTTCGCGGACAAGTTTGTGGCTCATGATCTGCGTGAGATCATCTCGAGCGAAGCAGGCGCCAACGATGGCTTTGGTTTCCATTTCCTGACGTTGACTGTGTACTTGATGAGCCATGCCAATGGTGATGGTTCTTCTGGTGGACATGGCGCAGTGGCGGCGGCCGAGGTGGTCGCTCGGACTGCGGAAGGAGTGGGCAGGCTCGGTGGAGGCGTCGACGTAGCGATCGGAAACTGGGTGGTAGAGACGTGGCTGTACAGTTAGACCAGGTTCATCTTGCTGACACGCAACAGGAAATGGGTTGACTCCGAGTCTTACCTCCTCTACCCTACCGCTCTAGGCCTCGCCTCTTCCTTGTAGGCATCTGCGGCATGCTCGGCACCGACGTCCTGCTCGCCTGCTTTGTCGCTGGCAACGCCATGAACTGGGACGGCGAGTTCCTCCGCGAGACCGAAGCGCGCCATGACGAGGTCAACTCTTGCATGGACGTCTTGCTCAACTTTGGCGGCTTCATGTACATCGGTACCATGATGCCGTGGAGCGAGCTCCACCAGCCCGACATCACCGGCCTGACTTGGGGACACCTGATCGGCCTTGGCTTCCTCGTTCTCTTCCGCCGTATCCCCGCCATCCTTGGCATGTACAAGTTGATGCCAAAGGCGTGCAACAACTACAAGGAGGCCTTCTTTATGGGTTACTTTGGTCCTATCGGTGCCGGCGCTGTGTTCTACGTTTGAGCACACCCGCCACTTGTACCCCGAGCTGGGCCATGGGGACGAGGAGGAGACCCCCCTCGTGCACATCATGATTCCCGTTGTGTATTTCCTCGTCTTGTTCTCGATCGTGTGCACGGGTTGTCGATTCCGGGCCTCAACTTGATCTTCAAGTTTTGCGGTGTCAAGCCGATTATGGACGATGCGGTCGTGGTGCGTTGCAAGGCTGTTCGGGTGCCGACGCCTGCCAATGCCGAGGTGAACGACAATAAGACGTTTGTCGCGTACAACCGCTTCTCAAGGCCGTTATTCGAGCCGGGCGAGCTGCCGATTGTCGAGGGGCGCTACAGTGGGCACATGCATCATGACGGCGGTCGGGCGGCGACGCCTGATTCGGTCGAGCTTGGGAAGGAGATGAGTTCGGGCAGTCAGAGCAATCGCGCTATACGCTTTAGTCAGAACAGGTTCTGAGTACGGTAGGGATTGTAGGAGAGGGTAGCGTAGGTATCTTGTTTTTAGTTACGTACAGTTAGCGAATTGGATACTTTTTAGAAGTGTTGCAAGGAGGAGAATCATTCCTATGCTCCGTCGGATTGGAGATGCAAACAGAAGTGACGCTGCCGCATGCTTCCCGGCAAATTCCCGGCCGGCAAGGTTTGCCGGTCTTGGCGCAGAGTTCGCAGCACTAACACTCCGGCAGGCAACATGATTCCGATGTCCACATCAACAATCGTGGCCGTGGGAGACAACTTCACCAAAAGCAGCATAGTTTGCGGTTAGAAAGCGATGCGTTGGCGGTACATCACCTTCGTTTCGTGGTGCTACTGCTCAGAAGCTATGATTTCAAAGAGCGTCACTAACTCTGCACCATTCCAGTCCTTGCACAATAGTCCACCTTCATGCGTGGACCACTTCCCCTGGCCTCGCGGTCATTGCCTTCCACTTGCCCTCAAGGCCTCAAGGCTCAAGCTGACCTCAACCCGAACATCACGAACACGACCGCCTCAACGACAACCGGCAATGTGATTTCCACCACCTTATGTCTAGCGGCATTAACCTTGGCTTCATATGATGCCGCCCACCACAAGTGTCTCGGTTGGAGGTACCCAAGCATGATGCCCAACAGACATTGCAATCTTCCAAAGTCCTGCTCAATGTCGTGTTCTACTTCACGCATCTCGTTCCACAGCGCATAGTCGCTCCGAACTTGGGAAACTTTGCTAACAATGTCATTCAACCGAAGTCGAGCGGTTGCGGACCAAATGATGTCTTCGTATGGAATGTCTATCTCGAGAGTGCCGGTCTGTTGATTCTGATCGTTGTGTCGTGGAGAGTACGAGTCAGAGTGGCACCCACCCTGCCACCCTGGCAAGCTGACAAGCCGCCAGCCTTATAAGTGCACAACGACCATTGGCTGTTTGACTTCCTTTTTCTGTCCACGCGTCTCTGTGTTTGAGAACATGAATAGAAGGTACCAACCGAACATCATGATCTCAGTTAATGCTGCAAGGGGACCTTGATGACTCTGTTTGCAGCATTCATTGGACATTCTTTAGATGGATGATGTTTGCCAGCTTCATCAGGACTTCTGTACGTCTTCGAACCCCGGAAGTATGAATTACCGAGCCTCACACAACCATAGTGTATCATGGCCAACGGCAACATCGCATCCACGACATGCAGAGGTTCGATATAAAGAGAAGTCATTCCCAGATCCCAAAGCCCACCCGAACAACACAGACTTGACAGTCAACAGTCCAAAGACCTTCAACCGTTCCAAACCCCCAGAGCAAAACCAACACGAATACCAGTTACAAGCACCACCACCAAGATGTCCAACCCCAACATTCCCACCATCAGGAGAAACTGCGCCACCCCGGACCTCCCTTCCTTGATCCAAGAAACCATCGACAACCCGCTGCCGTTCTCTGCCAAACACCAGAACCCCCGATACCATGGACGTGCCGCGGGCAACACGATGCCCACCGGCCTGGAAACAGCCGCCCACCAGGTTTCCGAGCAGCTCCAGCGCTGGCATGATGCTCACAAAGGCAAATACTCGTCGGCAACTCTCGAGACGTTGAAAGCGCTGGAAAAGCAGGTGCAGGCTCTTCGCGAGGCCAGATGGAGCGGTGTTATCCCGATCCGCTCAGGTGATGGTGCCAAGATTCTTTGCATTCTGGCGCAGTTGAAGGCCATGAGGGACTATATGGATAAAGTTGACGACATGGAAAAGGACTGGGTGTGGGTTGAAACCCCTGATCCAAAGGGTCCAGACTCGGATATTGATGGGGAGTATGTGGTTGTTGAGGTGAACGGGGAGGAAGATGTGAACGGAGGGAAAGATATTGGTGAGCAGGGCTTGCTCGCCACCGTGCAGATGTACCTGAGGGCTTTGACAGTCCATTAGGGACTTCTCAAGGCGTTACTGGATCAACTGGCTTGAGTTGACGGGAAAGGCAGGAAAGAAGGACAATCTGTCAAAGGAAGCATCAGACGAAGCCGGGAGTGAAAGTGGTGACAGTTGATTGCTCTGGCCATGTCATCGTTGGCATCTATAGAAAGTAGTTTGACCACCAAGTCGTAACGAAACAAAGGGCGGTGAGGAACGCCGTACGGCCATGACAGAACCTCATGTTCCATTCAGGTACTTGCACCTGTCCATATTACCATCCATGTTGTTTCCCCACCATGTCTTTGCAATAAGTCCAGTCAGTAAACAAACATCGATAAGAAAAACGGGGACGTATTGGAAGCTAGAAAGTACTCACCGGGAAGTCTCTGGCTTTGCCACTGCCGCCCGCCACTGCAAAGGTGAGGATGAAGATGATCAAGGAACAACCACCGGCTATGGCCGCCGCAAAAATGTTGTTCCACTTGGCGAACAGCACAGGCTTGTAACGACGGAGATAGCCCTGAGCGAAGAAGCCAAACACAAAGTATGCCAAAAGCGAAGAGTTGATACCGACGGACAACCAACCGAGCCAAGTGCAGATGATAAATGTGTTGAAGTAGTTGAGCTTGAGTTGAGGGAAGTACTTGTGGCCTGGATATTGCATCTGTTAGTATCAAGGACTTGATCGCCCATCTGGGGATAATTTGGCTGACTGACCGATCCAAAATGGCATTGGGGCAAAGATTCCGAAGAACAGCCCCATTGGCACCATCCAGTACGTTCCGTGACGTCCGCTGTGGTACCTGGTGTCAGCACACATCTCAGACATGTCAATGACACGATCAGACTCAACTTACAAAATCTCATTGGCCGCACCTCCCCAAGCCACCGCCTGCGCATTGAAGGTTTGTACATTCTGACCAGACCAAATGTTGGTGCCCTGAACGGACAACAGAATCTCACGCCGATTATCCACGATACTGTTCATCATGACCCAGTTGAACACTGAGCCAGCACATGTTCCAAGGATCTGCGCAAGAAAGGTAGCTCTGGGTGGGAGCTTCGCATATTGTGCCAACTTGAGATCGCCCAACATCTGGATGGCTTGCACCAGGGCATTGGATCCATAGAGGGTAAACATCATGTTTGCTACCGGTCTGCGAGGAACCATGTAAGCACCAATCATCTGGACCGCACTTGTAGGTTGATAGTAGAACCCAACAATGCCATACATGCACGCAAACATAACGGTCAAGATCCAGGCCAGAAGGACGGCAAGGAGGAAGGCCCACCAGGGAAGACCAGTCTTTTGCTGGTAACAGCAGATGAGGCCAATCAAGATTGAGATGGCCAGGATGCTGAAATACCAAAATGATGGCACCTCCTTGTAGGCACGCATGGCGGCGTAATGGGGGTCCCCTTCGGTGCCGGGATATTCTTTGCGAGGGGTGTCTGCGTCAGAGGTGAAGCTCTTCCAGAAGGATGAGTTGAACCGATGGTGCCATGTCCCGACTTTCTTGATGTTTTGCTTCAAGGCTGAAGGCCGGAAAGGAGCGAAGATGAACTTGACGTCATGCCAGTTCCAAAGCAGGACATGTACCACAGCTGCCGTAACGCCCATGTTCATCACCAGCAAACTCAAAGCTTGACTAGTAGCAAACCTGGGAAGCCCATAGGCCTGCAAAGCAGCTGGATCCACCTCGTTGTCTGGACCCAAGATTTGTGTCTGGTCATAGAGGGTCCCATTGGAAGTGAACAAATCCTGCGCCATGAAGGGGAATTTCTTCGCATCCCAGAGATTGTAGTAGTAAGCGCCCACGGTCAAAGCAATACCAACGACGTAGCCGATGAGTTCATTGACCAATGTATTCATGGGCAGAGTAAACTCTTTTTCTCCGATGTACTGCCAGTCCATGCACCAGCTAAGGAAGCCCATGCCCTCGTTTCCATTGGATCCTCCGAACAGGCGCGTGAAGAAGGCCGAGTTCTGGTTGGCGAGACAGAAGATGGAAATTCCAGTGGTGAGAGGAAACATCCATTGAGGCACAATCTCCCAGACCATGACAGCCAAGCAGATGCACCAGAAGATTTTGAGTCGTTTCTTCGCGAGATCCTTGTTCAAGTGCATCGACTGGAATAGTGCGGCATTTGGAAGCTGTGATGGCCAGACAAATTTGGTGGGGTAGATGAAAGCTTTGCGTATGCCACCGAGAAGGCCATACCCAATGCACTGCGAGGAGAACAGCATGAAGATGGCCGACGCTGCGTTTGGCTGATGACCGTAGTATAGAGACTGGGCGGCAAGTTGTTCGGTTCCGAGGGCACAGGTGGCGGCAGAGCTGGCCATAATGACGATGAAAACGTGTTCCTTCTGGGTGAACGGCCCCGGGTTGAGGAAACGGCCAACAGGACCCCAGCGAGGGATCAAGACAGTGGCCTCTCCAAGGCAGTAGGCGATCATGATCAGAAACACGATGCTCACGTTGACCGTTTGTGGCTTGAAGTAGAAGATCTCGGCGAGAACAGCACCAAAGGCCGACAAGCCTATCCCAAGGAAGAAGGCCCGGAAGGTGTAGATTCTCTGGGTCGGGTCATCGGATGTGTCGAGGGTCTTGGTGACCAGCTGTAAAGGAGTGTCGAGTGTGGTGTCTGCGGTGATCTCTGGATGAATCGTTTGTCAGTTCACGATAACATCACAACCAGGGACATATCGGAAAGGCGCTCACCAGCAGACTCGACATCAATGCTGCCATCTTTCGCTATGGCAGCAGTCTTGGTATCAATACCATCGGTAGAACTGGTTGGTGCCGCAAATAGGATGTCGTGCTTCTCGTCCAGTTCGCGCAGGTCACCGGCTGGTGCGGGCTTGCTTTCCACGGTGCCGTCCATGGTCACTGGCAAGGAACTTGTTGCGCGTGGCCAAAGGAAACGGGGAAATGGACGAGGAGCTCTAGGTGGGATTAAGGACCATATAAGGTGAGGGTGAGCTTAGGGTGAGAGACATGTACATGCAAATGTCTCGAGCATGTCGCAAGATAAGACCATAATACCGGCGTGTCATGGTTAGGTAAGGACAGAGATGCCCGGAGGTCAATGTCTCGCAACATTGGGTCCCAACATTGTAGATTGACGATGCCGTTCTACCTGCCGTTTTAGTCGATGTCCCGCGGGGGCGATCATCAACGAGGCGGGAGGAGGGAACGAGGGAAACCAACGAGTGACGGGAAGTTCCGCTGTCCAAGTGGTCGCACTCGGCGGTCGTGCACCGACATGGGCAGGAGCTGCGTTGCATGCATCAGGATGAGGTCAAACCTGCAGGCGCGGCTGGAGAGTGCGAGCATGCACTTAGGTACCATCGTCGCCATCAAATGATCGGTGCCGGAATGTCTAAACCGAACCTGGCAGGTGTTAACACGGATATGCAGGGAAGCCGCCTCTGGCAATAACGGATCATTAGCCGGAGACGGGCAAGAGTTGCATCATGGTTGAGATAAGCTTTTGGGCTGCATTTTGCGGTCCACATCGCTCGCGTGCGAACCAACGAACTGTCCGATTCCCAATAATGTTACGTTCGCCATCGACCAATTCGCGACGAGATAGGCAGGAGCTGCCAAGTTTAACAAGTCGGTTCCAAATCGCCGGTAGCACGGTGCGACATAGAGCTAAAATATTGCGTGCGTGACATTCGAAATAGAATGATCGTTGAGAATGAGAGCGATTGAAGGCCGAGGTTTGTTGGGGACGGAGAAGCGCCAAAGGATCCACTTTGCTCCGGGAGGGCCTACCTTTCCCGGCTATCCCCCGCTTCCGTACGGCCGGAGAGTTCAGTCTCCCTTATTGGTCTCAATCCCTCACGTAGAGGACTTAGACGCCGAAGAGGAGTAATACCGGAATCGGTGTCTCGAACTCCCCTCCTTTTGTCCCGTATTAAATGGTAGCTACAACTCGTTTGTAGTAAAGTTAAAGTAGCATTGGAAACAAATTAAATATTTATAGTAAATAAAATAGTCTTCCTTTGGGCGGAGCCAAATCCAAGTAAGATAGTAAAGCGCCTACGAATCTACATTTTAAGCTGCGAAAAGCTAGATCTATATATATCCTGTAACCCGTATGCTAAGACGGGAAGCTACTTAGTGCTTAGACTTCTATTTAGGAGCTTTACAAAGTAGCAGGGTTAGGGTTAGGGTTAGGGTTAGGGTTAGGGTTAGGGTTAGGGTTAGGGTTAGGGTTAGGGTTAGGGTTAGGGTTAGGGTTAGGGTTAGGGTTAGGGTTAGGGTTAGGGTTAGGGTTAGGGTTAGGGTTAGGGTTAGGGTTAGGGTTAGGGTTAGGGTTAGGGTTAGGG